CCCCCCCCCCCCATTACCCACAACCTCAGGCCCCGGGAACAAGGGGCTGCATGAAGAGCCACATGTGTCAACGGATGGGTCTCCAGGGCCACGATGATAGTCCGAGCCAGATGGGGATGGTGGCGTGGGAACACAGGACAGAGATGAAAGCAGTTCCACCAGACAGAGTGCTACCTGGAGTCACAGACATCAGCTCTAGTGGGAGGGTGTCAAGTCGCCAGTCAGCAGCTCCCCGTGTCTCAGGCCTGAGAGGCAGGGGGGCTGGGTGCTGGGGTCAGACCTATTTGGGTGGCAGGGCCCAAGAAGGCCCTCTGAGGTTGGATGGCTTTGAGTAAAAGGATAGCTGGGTGATAGAGGCAGTGACACAAGGCAGCCTCTCCCTGCTCTGGGCAGGGTCAGGCCCCAGCTGCGCCTCTTCCGGCTCTTCCTTCCCTGTGAGAGAGGACACGCGATCCTCAACAGTGTGAGGGAGGGAGGGAGGGAGGGAACAGGGAGCAGCAATTCACATCTGGACCATTCTTAGCACAGGAAGCCACTAATTAAAGATGTTATATAGAAAACTACATGTAAAAAAAAAAAGAAAAAAAAAAAGAAAAAATATAAAACCCAAACCAATCAAATAAATCAGAGGCAGGCAGGAAAGCAGCAGGGGGTTGAGTTAAACAGATTCGGTGCTTCAGGAGCCCCCTCCCACTCCATGCCTGGACCGGATCTTTTTTCTAGAAGCCAGAGTGCGAAGACTGGAAATCTTTTTGTGTATTTTTCTTTTCCTCTTTTTTTGGCCTTTCTTTTCCTTTCTCTTTTCTGTGGTCTTGGGCGCTCCTGGCCCCATGGCGGGTGGGCGGTCAGTTGGCCAGCACAACCGGCTGGAAGGGCTGGCTGGGGTACTGCATGGTGCTCAGGTTGTAGCTGAGGCCTTCCACGAAGGGGGTCTTCTCCAGGAAGAGGCTGTTGGTGCCGCCTCCAAATACCTGGGCCACGTCGAAGCCGCTGCTGTTGCACGTGCCAGCCCCACTGCCCCCGCCATCGGCCCCGTCAAAGAAGAGACTGGGAGAGCCCCCGTTGTACACGAACTCCTTGGCATTGGGGGAGAGCTGGGACTGAGGGGCCGGGTTGGCCGCAATGAAGTTCAGCGAGTGCAGAGACAAAGAGAGGCTCTTGTGCTTCAGCAGGTTGTTGGTGGGAGAGCGGGCCATGCGGGGCTGCTGCTGGGGAGGCTGCTGGCCACTTGCCCCGCCACCGGCCATGCCCCCGCCGTTTGCTGCCGCACCCCCCTTCTTCATCTTGGTGGAGCCAAACTTGGTGGCAGCGAAGGAGGCAGTGGTGAAGGTGATGGGCTGGGCGGAGCGGGGGATGAAAGTGGGGCTGGGTGACTGGCCGAAGGATGGTGACGGGGAGTTGGAAAGGGAGCTGTCCTGGCTGCCGATGGGCACGAAGACCTGGGCATCAGGGTTGAAACTGCTCTTGAACTCCTTGTCCAGCTCTGGTGCAACACAGCCCTCGCTGTCATCCAGGTACAGCACTTTCACTGCCCCCTTCTCACCGATCTGGTAGGACACCTCGAAAGGGTCGATCCAGACGCTCAGCTCTTCAGGCACATTGGCCCGCACATCCTCCACTGCCAGGCCGCTCCGCTTGGCGGCCAGCTCCACCACGGGGTCCACGATCTCCCCGATGTGAACACAGCGGAAGCCAGAGCCCTTCAGTGGCTTGTCAGGGTACCAGTGGCCTTCATATTTCTTTTTCAAGAGCCGCTCAAGCTCCTCCCCAAATAGGTCTGCCCGGCGCCGGGGCAGCTTATTATACAAGTAGGAGATGATAAAGTTCAGGGCCACTTTGATCTCCAGCTGCATGGTCCTTGCTCTCCTAGGTGGCGAGTCAGCTCACGGCAAGAGTGCAAACCAAGGGCAGTGGCAGGTGACGTAAGATAGGCAGCCTTGGGCTCCAGAGAGCTCTGAGAAATGAGAACAAAGGGCATCATGAGTAGATTATGCAGAAAGCCCAGAGGGTAGGGGGTTCAATGGCAAAAGGCACAAAAGCACCAGCTTCGGGCCACATATACTCAGGGTCCCATTTTCTGCTCCACCAGTGACCAGCTTAATTGTGTGACTGAGAGCGAGCCACTTTTTTTCTCAGCCTTAGTTTCATCAGTAACATAAGGTCATCATGGAGATGAAGTTAGCTCAAAGATGTCAACTGTCTTATGCCGAACCTGGTAGCTAGTAAAGACTTGATAAAATGAGCTACTGTTTTTCAAGTAATTCTAAAGGAATTCAAGTAATTTTAAAGGAGTGCTGTGGCTTCCACTATTTTGAGAAGCTGGGTCACACTATACAACTGCTATTTAAAAAAAAAAAAAAAAAAAAAAAAAAAAAAGGAGCCCCTAATTCAGCTGGAGAAGAGAAGGCTCTTGCTAATGTATCTCTGTAACATCTTGGTGAAGTCGTGCTCCCAAACTGTCACAGGCCAAGATATAAGTGTAAAATCGTTAGTTTTTCTCCTTAAATGGAAAGGGATACAGATCACTGAACAGGAAGCAGCACTGCCAACTTTTCAGTGGGGGCTTGGACTCCAGTCACATCCAATTTGTCATCCTGGGCTCCCTGAGTATGTACGCTTTCTGGCTCACTCTGGGTTTGCAGAACTGATGTAAGAACGCCACAGCGAAACCAAAGGGTGCATTTCCGTGTAGGCCGTCTCCAAGAATGGAGACGAGAACATGATCCCTAGGAAGAAGTCAAGACCTGCATTAACCAGAGGTGTGGACCAACAAGGGAACGCTGACGAGGGGGCCGTCCCAGGGAAGCAGAGGAAATGAGAGGGAAGCAAAGCCCTGTAGGCCAAAAAATCCTTAAGAACAGCACTGGTGTGGCCTGAGGGAATCTCTACACTTCTGGCTGGAGTGCAGGTGATGAGGGCAGCAAAGAGAAGAAATTTTCCATCACCCTGCAGTCTCCAGCTGGGGACCCATCATCACTCAGTCTCCTGGGGACTGTCTGACCACCTGTCCTTGGCATCGGATTGGATTTATCAAGTGTTTGGAGATCCCCGGAGAGGAGATAGCCCAAGATAAACACTCAGATTGTTATTTTGGGATTCTCTCACAGCCAGCTCCCACAGAGGTCAAAAAGGTTTATTTCTGAGGTCTGGGCCAGCCTCGTGTCTCAGGAAGATGATCTGTAAAGTCCCGAGAGCCAGTGATCCTAGTCCCACTTTCTCCACAATGGCAGCTCCAGGCTCATGCCGTGAGAAGACTGAAAAGGACCACCTTCGAGGTTCAGCAGGGCCAGAACATGTTTCTAGCCAAGCCTCTGGGTGAGAATGTGCTGCTGAGCTCAGCACAGAGACAAGACTAATCCATGGTCCATCAAGGGCATTTTTGCCCTGTGATAGATGTGGGGCTAGATTTTGATTAAAATCCCTTCTGGTGGTGACTGGTGGCTCAGCTGATTAAGTGTCTCACTCTTGATCTCAGCTCAGGTCTTGATATCAGGGTCATGAGTTTGAGCCCCACTTTGGGCTCCATGTGCAGCTTGGAGCCTACTTAAAATAGTAAGTAAATAGGGGCGCCTGCATGGCTCAGTAGAGTGTCCAACTTCGGCTCATTTCATGATCTCGTGAGTTTGAGCCCCGCGTCAGGTTCACTGCTGTCAGTGCGAGCCTGCTTCAGATCCTCTGTCCCCTTCTCTCTCTGCCCCTCCCCCACTCATGCTCTCTCTCTCAATAATAAACATTTAAAAAAATTAAAAGAGTCGCTCTTAAAAAATTTTTTTAAGTAAATAAATAAATATAAATCCCTTCTGGGTCCAGCAGAGAATAATCAGTTGCTAATTCTTCATTTGAGGATCCTAAGTTTTCTGAACACCTGCCCCGGCTTACTTCCTTGTAATTCTCAGGACTGGGGCCATGGCTCCTAGGGGTATTGTTAGGACTGGATCCTCAGGCAAAAGCTCTCTGGGGTGAGTATCAGAGAAGCAGCACTGGATCAATCTGGAGCATCATATAACACTGGCTACGAGTCTATCCCACCCTCATTTCAGGTCTGAGCAGAGGGTCACATGCCAAGTCAACAGAGTCCTTCTAGGTTAAAAGAGGGAAAAAAAATGGTAACAGTAGAGGGTTTTCTGTTGATAAGGATTGCGTTCATCACCAGATGCAAGGCTAGCCCCCAGGAATGGAAGTCTATAAGGGCCATAGCAGCCACCAGAGGTGTCCTACATGGAGGAGATTACAAAGGTGTGAAGAAAGTTGGCACTAGTTCCCAAGAATAGGCCTGGAGTTAAAGACAATGTTTTCAAAGTGTTTTTAAAAATAAAACAGACTTAAATATGACGTGACTCTTCTCCCAAAGCACCACAAGGCCTCTTGGTATAGCAGACCAAGGGGCCTCCTACACCTCTCTGGCCTCCTCAAACTTTACTGCATATGTAACTTCCAAGTTAACTTCCCCTTAAAAGTTCATCTTCACAATGGGACCATTTTGTTTTACTTTTAAAAATATTTTTATTTATGTATTAAGTTTATTTATTTATTTATTTTGAGAGAGAAAGAGAGAGAGAGAGAGAGAGCACGAGCAGGAGAGGGGCAGAAAGAGGGGACAGAGAGAGAATCCCTTTGCTGACAGCGCAGAGCCTGACGTGGGGCTTCAACTCATGAACCATGAGATCATGACCTAAGCCAAAATCAAGAGTCGACACTTAACTGACTGAGCCACCCAGGCACCCCAAATGGGAGCATTAAAAAAAAAATTTTTGGGGGGTGCTTGGGTGGCTCAGTCAGTTAACTGTCCAATTTCGGCTCAGGTCATGATCTCACCACTTGTGGGTTCAAGCCCCATGTCGGACTCTGTGCTGACAGCTCGGAGCCTGGAGCCTGCTTCAGATTGTGTGTCTCTCTCTCCTTCTTTCTCTCTGCCCCTCCCCTGCTAGTGCTCTGTCTCTCTCTCTCTC